ATGGGGAAACTGAAGTTAAAATGTATAGATATTATATGTTTGGCCTTCAGGATCATCAGATTCCAGCAGTATATTAGCAATATAACCTAAGGGAGTGTAGAGGGTATGGAAATGCCCTCACAACCGTCCTATTAAAATAAACCTGTGCCCAGACTATGCATATTAAATAATCCACATACTATATTTAAAAAAAAAAAACAGGACAAGCACTTTGAGGGCCAGTTCACACCATGGCATGCTGGTTTGTTGGATTAATATGCATTTGTGCAGCGTTAAGATGCTATGTGTTTAATTCAGACCATTTATATGACCACAGAGCTAAAACATCCAAAATCTGGATATGGGCAATTTTTTGCAACATGCAAGGTAGTGTGTAACCACTTATGTGCATTCTCTTAGTGTGCTATGGTGCCATTGAAAATGAATGATACATGTAATATGCATTGACATGCACTATGGTAATGTGTGTGTTACTGCAACGTGACAGAGTGAATGGGCCCTAAATCAAGCCCTCATTCACCTCTATAGCAGCATGCATTGTGGAAAAATTAATTTTCAAATTCAGAAGAGAAGCAATGAAAACACAGCTTCCCTCCCCTTTACTATGGGGAGCAGACACTTGGCAGGCTGCCAGCCCTTTAAATTAAACACACATCATGCATAACACTGGGAGATCTTGGGAGATTTAAAAAATCTCATGAGACATTTCTTTTTTTGTTGTTTACACATTGTTATCCATAGCTACATAGTTAATCTGGCTGAAAAAACACAAAAGTCCATCCAGTTCAACCATTAATAAAAAAAAGTTATAATCCTATACCCACAGTTGATCCAGAGGAAGGCAAAAAAAACCAGCAAAGCATGATCCAATTTGCTCCTGCAGGGAAAAAAATTATTTCCTGATCCCCCGAGAGGCAATCGGATATCCCCTGGATCAACTTTACAAATAAATAGCATTTTGGCTGGAGTGATGACGCTTGTGCAGCTAACCCCATAGCAACGTATCAATAATAACAACTGTTTTAGATCTCATACAGTGTATGCTTGAGATCTGTTGTGGATGTCATTAGCAGGCTTGCAGAGGATAAGGACAAAAAAGCCAGCTTCTAATAACATCTTTATATAAAGGGTACAGGATTCCTGGCGATGGTGGAAAGCAGCATTAGGACGTGGCAGGTAAAAATAAATAAAAGTATGTATTTCTCAATATTGATTTTATTCATAGTGGCAGTTTAATGTAAGGAGGGGGGAATGTCTGCTCTAATGTCCATTAAAATGTAGTGTCTGGAAAAAAGGTGAACTTTAAGTAAAATTAATACCAAAATCTGTGTACATTGGCTTGACCATGATGACTTACTGTTAACAGTTGTCAAAGAATGTTTAATGTCTGGAAACTCAATTGTTTGTAGATGGATGCCAAGCAGCACCTGACCCCCTGATTCCTGGACTACATCATGTTGTTGTTATGCGTCTTTCCACACTACATAGCACTTGTACACAGTATAGTAGTACATATATTTATATTGTAGCTGAGAAAGAATGTGACTCTGGGCATATTGCCGATAGTATAATCACAAGCAGCTTTGTGTAGTCTGCATGTGACCCAAGCTACTTTGTCACAGTTATCACTCCCACGTCTCACACACATCAAAAGTCCTATAAATACCAAACAGGTGGACTGTATGTTTAGTGAACAGTTCTGAGGATGGAGGAGAGTATACGGAGCAGGGTCTTGCACAAGCTGCAGGTCATAACTGAGATGGGCTATCAGCAACATCTGGGCCCGGAGAACATTTTCCTTGTTGCACTGGAGACAGGAAACCTTGGCCTTGTCCAGCTGCTGGGAGACAGACAAGCAAACTGTATGCTGAGCATCAGAGGAGAGGAGATGGGGTACCAATCACAGAGGCCTGCAAGGTTTGGCCTCACAGGTATGATGCTGTATGTCTAAGGCTTTGTCTCATCCCAAGACGTTTTCGGCTTTATATAGCCAACTGCAATTAACAAGTCTAACTGAAAAAGATATTTCATAAACCGGCGATTGTGAAAACCACTGAATAGAACCAACTTGTCTTGTAATGGTACGGCCTCTAATAGGCAACATCCAGTAAATGACATCTTCACATACTATGTATTTCCCCCCTCCTCTACACTATACTGACTGAGTGTCCACCTTGTACAGATCAAAGAGAAGTTCATAGGTGGAACCCTTTCTAGTTCTGAGTTCTGACCTTCATGTTTAAGACATGCTGGAATGCTTTTATATAGAGAAGCTCATTGAAAAGTATTCCTGAAGCGGGGCTTTAAATTGACTCACACTATGTCACCATTTTAGATGTTAAAGTGTATGTAAAGTTGTTGTTTTGTTTAGTTTTTTTTTACTTTTGAATAGGGTAGCCTGTTTGTCCTGGTGAATATTGGCACTAAGAAAATCAGGGGAAATCCTACATTTTAGAGTTGTTATGAGAGAAAGACATGAGTCTAAATCTTTCAGTGGAGACAAAGTTTCCACCAACAACGGTGTAAGATGGGAATTCCCCTCACATTGTTGAGATATCCTCTCATTTCCTGTTGTGTCTTTAGGAGCAGGAAGTAAAGGTAGGGCAGCACAGTGGCTAAATGGTTAGCACTTCTGCCTGGCAGTACTAGGGTCATTGGTTTGAATCCCAACCATGGTACCACCTGCCTGGAGTTTGCATGTTCTCCCTGTTCCTGCCTGGGTTTCCTTCCACACTCCAAAGATATGCTGGTTGGTGAATTGGATCCTGTATAAATTGGCCCTAGTATGTGCATGTATGACTGTAAGTTAGAGACTTTAGGTTGTATGTTATATAAGTACCTGTAATAAATAAGTTAAATCTACTCAGCAAACAAAAAACTGATAAGGGTTTACTGTTCCTTTTTTACTTCCTTGCTTGTTGGGCAAATTAGTTATAGAGTCAACTTACTTGGCACACGTTGACATGGATACATCAGCCAAGGCATATAAGCATTAATGACCTCTGGTCACAAGAGGGTTACTAGTGTACTCGCTCTCTCGCTGAGAAATAAAGAGAGAGGGAAACAGAGGAAGAAGCACAAGCCTAATCTATACAATAACATCATTTCACTGCCAGAACTTGCTTCCCCCACACTCACAAATGATCAACAATAGATACTCTGACAGGGTTGCACTGTGTCAAAATGTAATAAGAATTTGGAGGCACACAGGTTTCTCACCCATGCAGTTTGAGGGGTTCCAGGATGTGTGTCTCAATAGAAGAAACTGGCCTTTCCGTTTTCTCCAGGATTTGTTAATCCTGGTATGGGACCTAGAACCTGGAGGCTTTTTAGAGTGTTGGGTGGAATGAAGCCCTCAACCCTGGGTCCACATTTTAATGGTGACCAGAACCTGTGCAGGTATACGCAATGCCTTATGGTATGGGAGCTCACTATAGGTCAGGTTGAGACCAAAGTGCTCCCAAGAAGCAGCAGATGTATCGGCACACTATGGATGTCTGTCTGCAATGACCAGGTCGACTGCAGGAGCAGTGTGTGAACATCATTGTGTTCTTGACTGAGAGGCTGCATTCCACTGGCATAGCCCCAGGGAGTCGCAATATAGCCAGGAGGCTGTATATTTACTTTGAATTCTGGATGATGCTGAGACCCACGTGTGGGATTCCTGCTGTAGGGAACCATTTCTGTTAGATAAACATGGGCAGAAAGCCCATAACCACAAGTATGTTGAGTAGACTGTGTCCTTTGACACTAATCCTTACAATAGATAGATAATAAATGTATGTATCACCCTCCTAGCTAGGTTTCTAGGATATTAGGCAAATTTAAATCTTTTTGGCTCCTCTGTAATCAGTGGAGCTGTGGTTGATTGCCTGGTCTGTTCGTGGAGCCCCAGGTATTGAAATTGATTATTTTCCCCTGTCTCTTTTAAGAAACTTCCAGAGTTTAGAGAGGGAAATGTGAATCTTTCATCTGAATATTTAGTATCCTGTGACCAATCCCTGGAGAGATGTACCCTGTAAGTGGTCGGGTGGTGTGGGGGTGCAAATATTTATGTTTTGGCACTGGATGGACTGTTTATGATTATATCACGGACTGTGTTCATTCACCTATTGTCATTCACTTTGTTTTTGGTTAAAGTATATTTGCATCATATTTGTTTGCTCTGATACTTTAAATTTACTGTGGAGCGCAGCACTTATTTTGATATTGTAGTATGGCCCTTTGGACTTTAAATGCAATTCCACCAAAACATCTGTGTAATCCCTAATCAAATACACATATAGCACTTCAGCATGTCATCTACTGTACCTCCAGGAAACAATCACTTCAAAAATTATTGTATGCTACCTACACACGTATATGATCCAGAAGGAACATTTGATGTATATTTTGTCTGTCCTTGTCATCCTATAGAAAATATTATTGAACATGCAATGATAATATGCATGTTTGTATGTATGTATAAAAATCTAGGCTATTTAAAGATAGAAAGAATTCAGAACTCTATAAACCAATCAACAGCAATTATATTTAATTTCCCTGTCTACTCTAAACTGTTAAAATATTAAATCAGGTTCGTTGTTATGGATTACTTTAATTTGTACATCACTAATGCTCTTTCTTCTGCTTACATATGAACCAGTGTGTGTATATTAAAACACAGATACATAGCATAAATTGTGTGTAAGCCAATTAACAGCATTAACTGTAATTATTTGAAATGTGTTTGTATTTCAGTCTCTTCAGTGAAGCAGAATTTTTGTTAATATAGTAATTACCCATGTCCTATTAACTTCAATCCCATAGTAGGCAAGACATACCAGAAATGTTCAATATTTTCACATTAAGCAGCCAATATCATATGCCTATGCCTGTATTTTGCCATTTTCTTATGTCATTCCTTTTTCTCCCATTGTTTCACTGTGTCATAGGGTTGTGGACCCTGGAGTATACCCAAGAACTAACATCCCCCTTGTGTATCACTTGCTCCCGTGGTTATGCAGAGTGCGTACGTTACCTTTTGCACAGGCGTGCAGATCCCAATGCTGCCCCTGGGGGGCGTTCTCCTCTTCATGAAGCTTGTGCTGGAGGGCATGATGACTGTGTCCAACTACTACTGGAGCATGGTGCAAACCCCAACAAACGCAGTGATGATGGGCGGACTCCTCTACACATATGTGAGATAAACAGCTCTTTAAGGTAGTATAAGGTGGAGATTGCATTGCTTTGATTTTCCTTGTCAATCCACTGTATAGATATGTAACACTTTCCCCTAAAGGAACTGCTGTTGTTCTCAGGCTCCCTGTTCCTGTGCCCCCATATAGCATTACGCACTCTGACACACCTGGCTGGACGTTGAATATTTATTGCAGATGTATATGTAGTGACAAAAAAAATATGAACAATAGTAATGACACTGCAAACAGTTATACAATAGCAAGAAATATACTGTAAATACGTGAAGAGTGCCAAGAAAAATATTGAAAAACCAATAACTAGCAAAGCGTTCAACCCCTCCTGAACCCTATACTGGGTCAATCCTAACAAGGAGAGTTACACAGCAATAACAGTTCAGCAGTCTGTAATATACCCTCTCTTTGCTGGCCATCTTGTTGGGGCCCAACTCTCATGTCAGTGTGCTTAGGATAATGTCTCTTCAAGCACTGATAAAAGCACTGGCTGTGTAACATTTGCAGGCAACACTATACCTCTTTTTTCAAAGTGTATTGGGGTCTGGCCAGAGGCCTCTCACCAACTTCTGTGATAGCATTTGATCCCCCTCTGTTTCCTGTTGGAAGCACAACCAGTGTTGGCGGTGTCCTTCCTCTAGACCAGGCAGCAAGCTCCGTCAGCATCCCTCACACTCTTCAGTGTTCCAGGATGTCTGGCATGGCTCCTCTTTCCCTCTCAGATGTGGAAGTGAATGGTCTGCTGGCAGCCTGAAGTACACTCAGTTCTTCTGAACGTCTTCCACACTCTCCTTCTCCACAGCCTGGGAACAACAACACTCCTATTCCTCTGCTCAGAGTTCAAACAATATGGAATCTGTAGTTTCTTTGCTCAGTCTACCAAGCCAGCTCAGTTTGTAAAGAGCTACACACCCCACAATCCTCCTTTCCTCCCAGCATTCCAGCAGTCCACATCCTCATCTTCTGTGTATTTTTATTAGGTAGAGGGCAGGATTGACACTGGCTGTACCTAGTTCTATAATAGTAGTTTCTTCTCACAACTATGCCTGTGAATAGTTACTGTCGTTAATCAGACACAGAATCCCCTCCACAGAAGAATTTGTCCACTATATCCCTCTGCAAATATGAACAAGGGTAGCAGCAGACACAATAAATTCTCAACAAGCATTGCAGCCCTAGGCTATAGATATTATATTGATTCCTGCAAAGTAAATAGCATATTGTGGTATTATTTAGACAGATACAGGAGTAATAAAGATGACTTATGTTGACCCAAATGGAGCTTCACTTAGTACACTCCTAATTAAAAGAACGTGGACTTCAAATAAAAATCAATAAAATGGTGCAAGAAAAACTGCCCTATATTTATGGAAGAAATGTGTACAAATTTTGCAAATTTAGAAAATTAGCATTTTTTCTCTCCTTTTTTGCTTTAATATTGTTTCAAGTTTTACAGCCAGTGTGCCTTGAACAATTCCTGCTGATGTCTGCTTGAGCAATTTCCAATTCACACCCATTGCTACAAATTGTCTTTCTTTTCATGATTTTTTGCTGCATGTGCTTATAGGAGGTAATTTCTGCTTAATTCCGAAGTGATGAGTGTCAGACAAACAGAAAAAAACCTCCATGGGAACATGGACAGTATTTAAAATCTGACAAAAAATCTCATAAAAGGGGACAAAGACAGCATTAAAAGAGTCACTGTCACCTTGCCTATTTGGAGCAAATAACAATGTCTTTGTAGAGGGCTCCTCCATGCAACCCCGACACCTTGCCAGCACGCTCTTGTCACTTCTGCCTCCATCACAATTGGCATTAAATCCTAGTGTCAGCAAGTGTTGGACATTTTGGGGACCATTGACGTCACTCTCTAGGTCATGTGACAGTGCTCAGGTCTAGCAATTGGCTGATAACCCAAGAACTGTTACATGGGAGGAGGTCACCTGTTCCCCTGTACCCAGAAGTTCTGGGTCTTTGTGCCAGCTGCAACAGAGGCAGAAGTGGAAGAGGAGTGCTTTCAAGGTAAGTGTCAGTGAATTAGGGGTGCCCTTTACAAAAACATAACCATGAATAGTCAAGGAGAAACTGTCTATTTAATCCTTTTTCTACCATCAACAAAAGGCTGATATTGACAGCAGCATGGGCCATTAAGCATGCTCCCGGCTGCTATATTCGTGTATGTACTGTCTGGTCTCTGCTGGAAGTGATCACTATCACACAAGCCTGAGTAGCAGCCTAGGTGTAATAGCTGGTAGGTCAAATCATGGTCAGGAGCTGAGAGGCTCTGTAGGCCAGCCCCTCTGGAATTTTCCCTTGATCTAGGGATTTTGAGGAAGGCCCTGGAGGCAGTGGGTGGATCTGAGCAGTGGCTGGCTGCACTCTAGAGGGATCCTAGGAAATCCCCAACAGAATCTTGGCAAGGGGCTAGAGCACCATTAAAAGTATTGGAGCCTGCTCAGTTGCAGTAGAGTTCGGGTGAGATAGAGTGGAAGATGTGAGGCTGAAGAAAGGAGACTTCGAGAAGGCTCCATGGGATAGGGCCTACCGGCAGGCCTGGAACTGGAAAAGAGGAAAGCTCAGAGCTCACTGGCCCCCTGAGAGAGGACCACATGTAAGGTAGGGAAGGAGCAGCCCATCTGATAGGCCTAGTAGCAGCCCCCAACCCACCAGCAGTACAGGAAAGGAGCTAAGTGAATACACCTGCACCCCCTGGCAGATAGGGGGAACAGCATCCTGGTGGGAAACCAGATTAGCCACCTTCCAGTGACTCTTCATCTCTTAAAGTGACAGGAACCGGGTGGGTGAAGAGGAGAAGTTAATCTAGGGTCCGGGATAGTAGACTAAGGGGATGATGGCTAGCTCTCCAACAGAGACTGTGATGCAGAGAAGGCTTGTAATTAGTTCCAGGAAATTGTCCTCAGTTCATCGGTACCCTTGGGCATCCTGTACACCCCTAACCCTATCCCAGTTCAAATCATCTAAATAAAACAACAAAACCAAAGCTCAAGGACTGATTTCTGACTCTGGATGCAAGTTTTTGTGAAGATGTGTGATGCCTGGCTGGCAGGACTATAGGGGGACCCAAATCTTCAGCAACTCCTAAGTGATACAGGGATAATATATATTATAATATATATTACTTACTATATTTAGAGACAAATGTGGGAAGTGTCATATTCTGCCTTTTTGCTCTAGGTGTGCAGAATTACTCTTGCAGCATGGAGCCCTTGTGAATGAGACCACAGACGCAACACAAGATTCTGCACTGCACATTGCAGCAAGACTTGGGCTTTCGGAGCATGTTGATTTGTATCTACGTCGTGGAGCACTTATCAATTTCAGGAATGGGGAGGGTGAGACTCCCTTGATTGCAGCATGCACGGGGAAAGATGGTGAAGAAGAGAGCCGTCTTGAGATCTGCCGACTTCTGTTAAAGAAAGGTGCAGACCCAGAAGCTCAAGACCAGCAGGAAAGGAGACCCTTACACCATGCATGCCGAAAATCTGAAAACCACCTCGTAGAGTTACTCCTAGCTGCTGGTGTGGATGTGAATGCTGCAGATTATAATGGTGTCCAACCGCTTAGTTGTGTCCTGCAAAATGCTGAGATTTACAGAAAGGAAAGACCGCATCTTACTGTACAAGCCCTACTCAATCATGGTGCCCGATGTGTCTATCCAGAAGCTTTTGGGAAGGTAATCAAATATTTCATTGTTTAGACCAGCCACTCTAAAGCAGGGTTCATTCTGAAGTTGTTAGGGGTTTCTCCAGCTGTGGCTGATTGACCATCTGATGGTGCGTACATACAGTAGTTCTAGGGCCAACGCCATTTGGCAAAGTCAGCGGCGTGACAACAGTGATCACTTTAGCTATATCTGTAAGGGTGGCATTCTTCCCACTCACCGCCAATTTAGGATTTTTTTCACTGACCTCCAATGAACTGGTTAAACCAGGGATTCCTGGAGACTGGAAAAATTTTTTAGGAATTCCTCTGGGAAAAGAAAGGTTGAGAAAGGCCGGTTTAGACAATTAAGCCTAATTATAAAGTGTCTATACAGATATACATTCACCTCATAGCAGGGGCGGACTGACCATTCGAACACTCGGGCACTGCCCGAGGGCCCAGGGTCAGTAAGGGGCCCCATGAGATGCCCCTGGTACGTTTCATTGGCTTTTTCATAGGCTTTTTTGGGTGTGGGCGAGGATACGGGGACCCCATGATCCCCTATTGCCTGGTGGCCCCATGAGTTGTCAGTCAGCCCCTGCCTCATAGTTTATTTCTGTGCATTATCGTTCAGAACAAGTCTGACAAGTTGATTACTCCAAACCTTTAAAATCCAAATTAAATTTGGTGTATTATGAAAACTGCCATATTCTTTTTAAACCACTTGGTGACCAACCGCCCGCAATGTACTGTGAGCAAGCAGCCGCTGTAGGCAAAGCAGCGTACCTTTACATCGCTGCCTACTTGCAGGTTTAGGGCACACACATGTGCTCCCCACTCAGCACCCGATGTGATTGTACACAGCAAGTCCCAGCCAATGATTCCTGCCTGGGACCTGCTGATTGGCCATGTAAAACCAGAGCACATACCTCTGTGTTGGTAAACAACACAGAGCTCTGTACAGAGAGAATCATCTGTCAGGTTCACTGTGAGATCTTGTAGTAAAAGCAGCACACTTGACACACATTACACATAGTTAGGCACATATTTAAACCCTTGATCACCATAGATATTAACCCCTTCCCAACCAGTGTCATTAGTACAGTGACAATGTAAGGTATTATCACTGATCATTGTAATAATGTCACTGGTGATGTCAGTGGTAGTTATTCAGTTCTCCCCAGCATCAGTTAATGTCAGATTGCCTGCCGCACTATCACAGTCTCATTATAAGTCACTGATCGCCGCCATTAGTAGTATAAAAAATTTAAAATTACCATAGTTTTAGACGCTATAACTCAATCAATATACACCGGTTGGAACTTTTATCAAAA